TTTAAGCAATTTTTACAATGTTTTACTATGACCCTGATGAAGGCCACAAGCCGAAACGCGTTGGTCTATTATTAAAGTTGTTCTTCTACCTCAAGTGTTGCTGGAGTTCCTGCTTTGTGAATTCTTTAATAATTTTTAGGGAAATTGTTTATTCTCTTGTTTTTGTTTCTGTTAAGGCTTTAAAAAAAAGCTCAAATGTACAATAGGGAGCACGTCTTCCCAGCATTTAAAAAGCCAAACTCAAACAAGATTAAGTTTCACAGTCCAATTAACCTCCCAGCTCAGCTCTATTGTGCCACCTGGTGTTTCTTTGCCCACTTCAGGCGTGCAGAGTGAAGTTTGATGGAGGGGGTTTGTGTTGGAGCAGCCGATGGCCATCCTTTACTTCTACTGATTTGATTGACTTGTGTGCGTGAGGGGGATGCAGACAGCGGTGCATGCAGGGCCTTATACTTGCAGGTCCAGCACTGAGGAGAAAATCCTTAGCTGTCTGTCCTAACACTAACCTCGCCAACCTCTCCCAATCTCACCCTATCACCTTACAGTGTCTGTGTTTAAGCAGCTGAGTTTGACTGATTCTGAAGACTTACATATTACACATCTCCTATCATACATCTTTTCAATCTGAACTGTGTTACTGTGCCATTTCCACTTTATTATGTATAACTACCTGGAGTGATGCTGCTCTACTGCTCTACAATATGAGCACATATACACAGATATACATAATATATAATTAGATATAGGGAAAGGAAATTCAGGAATCTGGGATTTGGTTCGATAAAGTGAAACTATAGAAATTATTTTTTCAGTTAACTTCAGTTTGTCACATTCATGATATAAAAATCCACTTTTACTTGCTCTATTGAACAGTTACCACCTATTATTTACAAAGGCATGGATATTAAAGGGACACACGCGGGATGAATGGTAGAACAAGATGAACATTTTTATATTGTATTACTGTTTATATATCTACTAGATTTCTTAGCAGGTCCTCAGCTGTCTGGGGTGATGCGCATTTTATTGTCAAGTCCTTGAATATACACTCACACTTTATTAGGTACACATTGCTAGTACTGGGTTGGACCCCCCTTTTTTCCCTTCAGAACTGCCTTAACTGATCATGGCATAGATTCAACAGGGTGCTGCAGACATGATATCATCACATATTTGCAGCATGTTTGTTATCTGCACAGCCATTGTATAAATATCCCGTTCTAGCACATCCCAAAGATGATCTACTGGACTGAGATCTGATGGCTAAAAGCGGTTATCAGTAGATTGGTGCGTAATTGTGGTTGTAAAGTGGTGGATATGGCCACAACAATACGTAGGTAGGCTGTGGTGTTTGGATAACTCCGTTGTTATTGAGGGGCCCAAAGAATACCCACCAACAACAACCTAAACTGTTGATACAAGGGACGATGGATCCACGCTTTTATATTGACTGAACCTAATTCTGAAACTGCCATCTTCAGTGCAGCAGAAATAGTCCACTTTTGGTGACTTGTTGCCTTAGTGCTTTAAGACTGTGGCCTTCTTCTGCTACAGGATGAGACGTGTATTCAGATATGCTCTTCTGCATTTCTTGGTTGTAAAAACTGGTTATTTTAGTTGCTGTTGCCTTCCTAACACCTCGAAGCAGTCTCCTCTGACCTCTGGGATCAACACGGCATTGTTGATTGCCCGAGAACTGCTACTCACTGGATATTTTCTCTTTTTACAGACTGTTTTCTGCAAATCTTAGAGATGGTTGTGGAGAAAAATGCCAGTAGATCAGCGGTTTCTGAAATGCTCTGGCTCCAAAAAGCATGCCATGTTCAAGTAACGTAAATCACCTTTCTCCCTCATTCTGATGATCACTTTGAACTTTAAAAGGTCGTCCTAACCATGCCTACATGCCTAAATGCACTGGGTTTATGGGTTGATAGTTGCGGTGTGGTGATGAGCAGTTGAACAGGTGTACCAAGTGAAGTGGCAGGTGAGTGTACATCATGCTAATAAAGACATTTACTGTAAGATGTTAATCTACTTGAACAGCATTAAACAAGCCTCTGATTCGGGGTTTTCAATCAAGCTGCTTGTGGCTGCAACACATCTGTGTCTACAAAACAGTGGCTTGACACACACTCTTGACAAAAGAGTTCATCCTTTGATCAAAAGCGCCTCGCAAGATATGCATAATTTCATTCACACTTCTCAGTGTCAAGTTCCCTGGTAATGAAGGTAGGTCTCCAGACAAAGAGGAGCTGTAGTTTTAACCTGCTCCACTCAGTAATGATGTGCTATGACTCTGGACAGCTGTGGCCCTCCTCCTCGTCCTCGTCCTCCCTCCCAGTCAGCACAATTGGGCCGTCGCTGTTATCTGCATATGGACTAACAGATGCTCGCGTCTGTGCTTGTGTTTGCACATTTCTCATGAACGGCTTGCACTTTCCCTTCCCTTCATCTTAGACCCCAACTCAACAGAAGATTTTGGTGGTGAAAGCATGTTTTATGTCAGTGGCAGTCTACTGTGAATGAAAACCATGAAACCGCAGTTGACGAAACACAGCCTGGGGGCACCTCGGGGGAATACACTGGCTACTGTTGTCCCTTGGTGACTGACAGACTAAGCTACTGAATCCACTACTGAGACCACATGTGAACACACCTGTTACAGTATAATGCCTCCAGTGCTTATCGTAAGTAACACAGGAAACTAATGCTTCCCGAGGGGATCACCAAACCTACAACTCCGGCTGAAAGACAATAAACCTATCAGTGGTAAAAAAATACAGCAGCATTATCCTGGCCTGGGATTGCTGCGTAATCCCTCTATCTGAATCTCACATAACAAGCAAACAAAAAGGAATAATGGAAGATAATCTCACCCCGAGTTTGTTTAACATTTAGCAATTTACCCAGGTAACTTGGATTGGACTGGATTACTGCCCCGCCTCCCCCTGTGGACAACCTGCTCTCATCTCTATGCACAGGAAACAAAACAGCTGGTTAAAGAAATCCGACCATAAAGGGGGATTAAAATACATAGCAGAGGTAGCATGTAGCACTACCTGTGCTGTAATAGCCCCTTTAGAGGAACGACGTCTTACAGTATCTGGATTTTCCTACTGTGAGATGTAAGTTGAAGCGAAAATTCTGACTTTCTATGTCTATGCCTCTCCAAACACTCAGTGAGTCTCCTTGACACTGTAAAATCCACCCAATGTCTGAATTTTGCAGAAGAAATTTACATGGCAGCCACATTGGAGTTTTGTCTCAATCTATTATCTGGATAATTACATCCAATCCACGGGAATCTGCATGTACACCTGGTACAATAAGCACTCCAATTATCACAATTCTTCCCACATGGGCAGTGTATTTTGTGTTTTTTTTGTTAATAAACATCATTCTCCAGGTAAAAAGGAAACAACGGCATGATTGGTTCATTTGAACAATTTTTGTCGAAAAGCGGAACTTGCTAGTCGTAAGAGGTCATGCGAGGTGACCTTTTAACTTCCCGGGCAGATTGTTTTTTAATAATGTGCCCACAGCAGATGGCATTCGCAGCTGGCTGGGGTCCAATCACATCGCAAGCCAGTTGATCTGATCACAGAGCGTTCAGTGAGCATTTGCACCTTTCATTTAAAAGTGCTTTTTCTCATCTAGAAAAGACACTTTGACGGTGGTCGCATTAGAGTCGGGTTTCAACGAAAGCTCGTTAAGGTGTACGAGTACGACTGCGAAAGACTTTTAACTCCAGACTTTAATCATTTATACAAACAGTTGCTGTTCTTTACATGTGTCCATTTGCAGCGGTAAGTTCAGGCTGAAGCTTTAGCACAATCCTGCAGGGACACCCATACAAACAAGCTGCGATATGGACGCAAAGACCTAATGCG